TGCAAAGAACATTAACAAAACTGCATTAATATGCACCTTGCTTTGCCGACCGTACCTCAACGTCTTCAATGCACTAACATCACAACTTTTCAAGGTCTTTTCACGGACAACACTGACATTTGATAAATCCTAATCAATTTAATCAACTAATATATTTAATAAAAGTTACAGATTAGGCGCCTCATCCAAATAAATTATTAGTTGATTAACACCTTCTCTTTCTTCTTCTTTTCTACCTCTTCAGCTCTCTTCTTCTTTAACCATTCTTTATACTTTACTTCAGCCTTTTCTCGTAACTGCATTTTTTCTAGTTCCCTTGTGGTTTTTTCTGCCATTTCTTTGCTCAGCTTCCGTTCCCTTTCCCTTCTTTCCTACATGAAATAGATCAAAGAAACACAATAGAAACTTTTCAGTATATTTCAATGAGCAATTCTTTTCAGGAATACAGCTAATTTTATTACATACTTACAAACAGAATTATCATAACCCTGTCAAAAAACCATATTGTTTGAAGCTCTTCGACAACAGAACCTATTCATTGCTAGGTTCCAGACAAAATAGTTTCAAACATATCAACTTGTCACAAAACACGATAAAAAAAATTTACTTTCAGGACTCCTTATGCTATTATGTTTATTATCAGTTTTATTTATTCAGACATTTTTATAAACACTTCAGACACTTCTCAATATTTCTGGGAAGGAAATATATGTTGCAAGTCTTGAAAATGGTGTGTTAGTTTTACTTTTCAGTGAATCCAGAGCAAACTACAGTTCCAAATGGAAGTCAGGCAAACTGGCCCCTCTTAAGAGTCATTGAGATATGCAGGTCGTTTAGCACACTTAAGCATAAATTGATACAACTGTTTTGTGGTATTCTCTACATTTTTATATTCTTCAGTTTATTCACATACAGACTTCTATGAATCAACCTACGTATTTCTTCTCTTCAAACAACGAAAGGGAAAACGAGAAAACACATTCTAGGGTAGGCGAAAAGCACTAACCAACTGTGAAGTGAAATCGCGACCTGTATAATTTGGAAGATACAATACACAGAGCTGCCATTCACTCCTACACCTTTTCAGTGCGTGTATCTAACAGTACACAACAATGTTTAGGGGACCATTCTCTGAGCAAATAAGCACGTATCGATGGCATTTTCTTGATCCGGAGAGGGAGGTATTTTCATTTGAAGACTAACAATAGCTCTCGCTTCCCTGCAACCTTTATGAAGTGTCTGGGATTCTACTGATGCGGTATTACTTCTGCTGAGCTTGCTCAGCTCTGAAGAACCTGCATACACACACAGAGGGAAAATACCAGACAAGCTGTGCTCCGGACTTGCAGGACAGATAAAAGATTTGAGATCAGATAGTTCCCCCTCCACAGAAAAGAACTGTTGAACAAAAATGGTGGTTTTCTTTCAAGAATTTTTTTCTTGTATGCTCGCCTGCATACTCCTCTTGAACAAAGGATATACATAGCTTTAATAGGAACTCATGCTGACTCAGCATTATTATAGTTGGCAGTATGGATGTCAAATGCCTAGAACTACAGCTGCAAAATATAACAAATAAATGGAAAAGAGGAAAAACACATTTAAAAGCAGAGCAGGAATAGACTTCCTTTCCCATTTTACCTCTTACAAGCACAAAAAGGCAGAAAGCTAGAGCTCTGCCCTGCTCCCCCCATGGGCCCCTCCCCCTGCCCTTTTTTCCAAATTTATTGCACTTCTGAAAATCCAATTATGCATGATGAAGCAGAAGCCATAATACTGGAGTAGGGGACCAGGACAATTCTCCCAGTCTGGTCTAAACAGGATATCTGCTGGTTCAATACTTGTCCCCCATATCAATAATCCAATAAAGTAGCACCATATAGAATAAAAACTTCATCTTATATTGCCCTGCAAAACACTAACTCATTTCTGCCATTTATTGGATGAGATGACGAGGTGCAAAAACAAGGCCAATAAAGAGAAAAGGCTTTGTTTTCAGATTAAAACATTTGCAGAGTTTTCGTAGGACATAACGGATAATAAATGCATTTATGTTTGAATGCTTATCCACACTACATGAAATTGCCTCGATAAAGAAATCATTCCAAGCACAATCTTAGCTTACTCTTGGCATTCCTTTGTTCTGAGCATGTCATAATGCTAAACTGCAGACTCCTGCTTGAGTTAGCGTGCCCTGTTCTGTGTTGGCCAGCACTAGAAGCACTCTACAGTTTTAACATCGGCAGCTAAATTATGCATTAACTGTGGGGATTTTGCCCCCCTTTTACAAGCTATGCCTTATTAACTGTATTTACCACCATCTCCAAGGAGGATGTTTCTTCACTTAAACCATGATGATACCTTGAGTTTTCCTGTTTTGGTATACTCTTGTCAAATATTCTTATTTGATGACAAAGAGTTATTTGTGTACGCACTGCACACAATTTCACAAAACAATTTGCTATTAACTACATTCTCTCCTTGGGTTTGGGTTTTGTTTTGTTTTTTTTCTTTTTCATTTCACTTCCAATACATTCTAGTGAACATCAGCTGAATCTACTCTGCCGTGTAGGGAAAATGGTCAGATATGAATACACTCCAACTTCAATGCATATTCTGGAATGTCAAACTCCATAGAACTACAAAATAATGGAAATCTTATTAATACGATTTCGTAACACTGTTTGTAAGGCCTGCACATGTGATATAATTATTTTAACCTAAGACCAATGAAAAATACAATTTCATTCTGGAAAAAAAAAAAAAGTTGAGATTCTGAAATGTTTTTGTACTAGTGAAGAATGGAAACAAGACCTTTCTCAACATAAAACAAACCCATGCTTCAATACATTAAAAAGGAAAAACAATCTATTTTTGGCAAATTATGCAGACCCTAACTATCACCTGCCTGAAAAACAAATAACCAATTCTTTAAGCTTTGCCTCCTCCATCATCTAAAATTCATCTTAACCTCTTTTATTCAGAGCTGTTCCTCTGTCCCTTCATTACCAAATATTCCCCACATGCATCTCTAACTCCTGTTTCAAGACAATGGTAGTCTGGGACCCACAGAAAGCATTGATGTAGATGAGAGATACATGCTGAAACAGTGAGTTAAAACCATTGGCGAAGGAGGTTTACAAAGATTTCAAATCTTTTGTTGTTTGCTGGCTTATCTCTAGCATACTTGAAAGCGAGTTGCAAAACTAAGGATCTTTCAAAGATACAGTCTTTAGCTGAGGGCTTATCATATAAAAAGCATGAAAATAAATATAGGAGAAAACTGAAAAAAATGGGCTCCTACCACACCTAGGAGAATTGTTCAATAACGGACAACAATTATAAATAGAGAATAGACTAAAAATCTTTCTAAAGACTGTAATTAAAAAGTAGGGAAACTTCTTAATTCAGGTATCTTTAATCACAATACTTCAGATGAGTTTATCTAGGCTGACCCACAGTTAAAGCAGATGCTCTGTGAACAGTGATATCCCATCCCTACTACCACGAAAGCCAGAACTATGGTTCAGTTTTACTACCAGTGAGACAACCTTAAGATGGGGAGACTCCCTGAAGAATTGCAGACTTTGCAGCTGCCTAGAAATTATTCTGCAGACAAATCAGAAACGCTTCCTCTTTCTCTCACGCACAGAACAGCTTTTCGTTCATAAAGTTAGGGCACACCACATTCCCAGCTGCTTTGATAACCTGTTTCATGTCAAGCTCCTGTCACCCTCGTCTTCCCAGCTTCCCCCCTTCTTCATTACTTTTCCTTATACAAGTCCATCAAAAATGCTAGGAATGCGCATATTAATGCACATGTTCTTCAGTCCTCCTTTCACTCTCCTTCCACGTATATAAGGGGGGAGGGAAATTATATAATTTGTTTATGCTTGGTGTTGTCAGATGGAGTTTTAAAAATTCTCTTTGATCTTGTGTTCAAAACAGACATGATCTATTCACCAAACCACTAGTAACTTTACATACGCTTTAAAATATGATTACAGGTATTACATAAATTAAGGTATTGATTGTAAAACATCCAATTACTCATTGCAAGAAAGGCTTGTTCTCCTGCCACCCCACCCAAGCACATTATTACGGAGAAAGGATACAAATCTGCCCTGAGGTTCACTGCTCTGGGCTATGATCCTATCAAGCCTCGGAACCTAATGAAGCCTGGGCTAGGTCAGTACTTGGAAATCCCCCACCCAAAACGAATCCAGCCGTCCCACAAAGCAGCCATGGTGACTCAGTAGGCAGCATGTGTCTCGCTGAGTCAGTGCCAAACCAATGTCTCATCAGCAGAACTAATAACTTTTCAAGAAAAATCAGACCTATGTACGTATACGTGGAGAATTGTCAAGGAACCTAAAATTTGAAGAAGCATCCCACCTTCTTGATGGCAGGTAGAAATATTAAATAATCTTCCACGCAGAAGAAAGTCCAGTTGCCATTGAAACAGAGACACTATACCCAACTGGAAGAAAATTCATAAAATACATATTTCTGTATTTTCATATCAATGATTACATGAGCGGCTGGAAAGGGTAAAGTGCAGAGCTGCTTTCAGCGCTGCATTTTCTATGTAGAGTGTCACTGAATAGAAATATTTCCAGAACTTAATGGTGTGGTTTATTTTTTTTAAGATACTTCTCACAGCAATCCTTTCCCTTTTTCTGGTCTGCAGAAGGTGACAACTTTTTTGTTTTCATAAATAACCGACGGTTCTATCTTACAGCTGTTCGCTCTGACATCTTAGCTACCGTATTCTAGCATCATTTTATGCTGGCTGATGGCAAAGTATAGGAAAAGTCCACACTGCCAACATCAGAACATACATCCAAATTTCCTCATTTATCTTCAAAATAATCCTGAATGTCAATCACATTTAGCAGCCTCAGAAACCTGTCTCGTCCGGCTAATTATTATCTTTTCAGTTTAGCCCTATTACACAGCTCAGTCACCAAGCCGAGCCCACAGGAAAACTTCTTTAATCTCTCCAGAATTGGCACGTGAAAAGAACAAGAGGCTAGAAAAGAGGTCAGTGAAACAACATTGAGCTGCAGTCGTCTACTGACAGGCAGGTTTGTGATTGACCACTCAAGTTCACACAAAGTCAATGCAGACCTCACTGCAGTTTGGTAACTGGAGAACTCTAAGATGGTTCCACACATGGATCTTTCTCCCAAACTGTCTTTCTTTCATGTGGCTACTCCATATAGGTGACAAGCAGCAAGTCTTAGTATACTTGGTCCCTGAACGCTCTCGGGGTCTTCCGAAAAACGCAGACTCCACGAATGCTGCTGAAATACACGAGCACTCATCTTTTAATCATCTGCCACCCTGAATTCCTCCTCCACAAGTCTATCTAAAACTCATTCTTACACTAACCATGAGAAATTAGTCCATCCTACTTACAGAAGTCTAAAGGTAACTCTGGACACAATTAAGATTCAGGTACAACCTAAAATTATACCCATGGCACTGGCCATGCGTGACCTCACAGAAAAGTTTTGTGTAAAGATATATCAACACCGTGCTTAAAAAAAAAAATAATAAAAAAAAGACGACTGTCTTGTAAAGTCCTCCAAGTCTAGATGCTGAAAAACCCACAATATGCAGAAAAAAAAAAAAAATTAAGCCCAGAGTTATAAAAAAAGTTTAGCTATGTAAAGACAGACTTGGGCACCTAAACAGAGAATTTAAATTCTTAAATACAGTTGGTTCTCAAGGTTGGGAGGTATTTACGCTAGATATTTAAGCTTCCCTCACAAATACATTTCTTGAAAGGGTTCAGTCCTGAACAAGGTGAACATCTCAGCATCTCTTTCAAGTCTAAACTGTCAGCAAAAAGCATGCACAGCAGGCTCTCTATAAAATTTAGCAGCAACCACAGCTTTGACTCAGAACAATAGCTCAGCTGTTAGAACATCAACCTAGGACAGGGAAGATCCGGATTTCATTACCTCTCTGCCTGAGGGGATTCAAACTACCGCGTCCCACTGTGGGGAGAAGACCCCATCTATCAGGCTCCAGAGAAGACAGGGTTCTCAATCCCCTTCTGTCGAAGCAGTACCACTCCTCACAAAACAATTAACAATTCATTGGATGAAAGGAGGAGAGCACGAGTGAGCAGGACGTTTTTAACTTGAAAGTCATGCTCAAGCTGCCAAACAATCTGTGTTCTATATTAGCAATGGTGAGATAAAATATGCACTAAACAAAGTCGTTGGAGTAAGAGTTGGAATCTAAATCTCTCTTCTGGAAGGAATCACGCAGCACAGCAAGAAAGGGAAGTCTGCTCCAAGAATATGGCCATTCATTATCTTATAGTGCTGGTTCTAGGCTTTTGTATTTCTTACTGCTTTTCCATTCTTATAAAGACTATCAGCCAATAGCAAGGTAAATTATAAGAACAAAGTTTTCAAAGAAAAATCATCAAAACAGAGTTTTCCCATCCTGTACCTGTTTTCCATTAAAATTTTATTTTTCAGTAAGTAATGGGGACTTACTGAAAGAAAAAATGAACAACGAAAGAAGCTGAACATCAAAATTCTATAATTAACGCCTGCTTTGCTCACATTTACTTTTAAGAGAAAATAAAAAGCGATGCATTATTGTCTGTTCAACAATGCAGAAAGTATTTGAAATGCTACAGTCAAATTAATTGGTATTAGAATAATTAGTTTTTCCAGTGTCAAATGGTAACTTCACTACTCATGCTCTTACCAGTTTGCTAGATGTCACATTAATATAGCATAAGGTAATACATGCAGTTAAAGACTCAAGACAAGGATGGTAACAACAATGTATTTGGGGATACAAGCATTCTGCTTTTGAGATTTCAGTTACTGTTTCAAGTATATGTAGAATGTATATGTGCTGGGTTTTGGCTGGGATGGAGTTATGGAGTCTAAATACAGCAATTAGCAATCAAGCAAACATTTTAACATGCCAGAAGGATTAAGACAGATTCTAACAGCTTTGTTGACCTATGTCCAGTTCTGCATACCACTCAAATCAAGGCTACTTTAATAACGAAAATACGACCTGAACACCAGCTTTGCTTGCTCAGCATTTATAATCATGCCCTCTTCATTTTTATCAATAAATCTAACTAATTCAGAAATAAAAGTTTTAGTTAAACACAAAATCATGTTGGGTTCAAATAAATTTTCTTTTGGAATCAAAAGCATGTTTGGCGATATTTTAGAGTTAAAATATTTTGAATGATCTTCCTGTGATTTGTTAAAAGTAGAGCTTTATCACATCTAACACAAAATTAGTTAAATATACTGTTCGCCCACAAACGACCCAATGTTAGGAGAGAAAGTAAGACTATTTTTGTCCAGCAGAGATCTAGTATCTTACTGAAAATTGTAAAGGCATTAGTAGAACCAGGATAGTGCCTGACAGTTGATTTTATTAAGCTTTTAATTCCTAGTGAGCTGCAAAATTTTGCCATACTTACATAAACATATTTCACAGATTAGAATGTTCTCTGATAGCTCATATTTCAATGTCTTATCTCTAGTTCGTGTACATTTCTAGTTCAAAAATCACAAAAGCTATTTACATAGAAGAATATTAAATGGTTACGATTCCTTTATTTTCAAAAAGTTTATGCAAAAAAATTGGAAGCATTAAAAAAAACTTCACAGCATATAGTTTTAAATCTGTATTAAACGACAAAAAATGAAACAGCCAGTGAGCAAAAGTAGTGCTCAAGCTTTGCTTCCCAACCTGACCCTAAAGGACTGTACAGTCAGAGCACCACAACTGACTTTGCCATGTAACAAAATGCAAGAAAACTGGCTTGGCATACAGAAACCCAGCAGAACGCTTTTATGCACATTCAAACATTCTACTTCTGACATAAATGTATGTCACATTCATGGTACAAAGACTTTTCCAGCAGTGTATCCTGGTGCTGGATGCTCAAAAGGAAGGAAAAAGTTTCATGTACGCTCAACCATCCCTAACTTCCTTCGTCAGTAGAGTATTCAGCAACGGGAAAGGATACAGACTTGTGGAGATCAGCGAGGTAACCCCCCCAAAGTACCAGCTCCTGTCAAGTAAAGCATTTTCTGCAGCCTGCACACAGGGGCTCAGAATCAGTAACTGGTGAGTGCTTAATGCATACTCCAGTGAAGAATCCTGTGAGTTTTGCCTCAAGGAGCACCTTTTGATGCTTCTAAGAGGAAATTAAGTCAGCTTTCCCAAAATGAGATGTATACACACTCCCCAAGAAAATCACAGCAACCATCAGTGCTCATAAATGTAACCTGAAACTTCACGTGAAAACTTCACGCAGTTTTAAACACCTTCTTAGTCACTGAACTTACATATTTATCCTTCAGTCTGTGTCCGGATTCACAGGTAATCTTGTGGAAACTTGAAGTGGTAAAGTTTACGCAACACAAATGCCAGTATCCTAAAGACAACTAAGCTTTTAAGTTAAGTTTGTTCTTGATTTGAGTGTGGTTTACAGAAAAGACTAGCCAATGAATCATTTGATTTAGATGAAACTCAGATTACTTTTGGTAAAAGCTTGGGACATGGCCTAAGGATGACCTTATTCTTCCAAAATGTAATACGATAAAGTCCAGACACAAATACATTTTTCCCTCTGTCCTCTGGGCTGATGCGATTACCACAAAAAAGACCTCCTATTCCCATTGACAATAGAAAAGAAGAAGTTAATCAGTAAATCCACGAAGTCAAAGGCCTTTGGAAGATCCAAATAGGTAGAAGTTTATAGAAGCTGAAAGGGGGGAGGGGGGAGAACAAGAATTTTCACTGTTTTGAACTGAACAATTTTAACACGCAGCCCAAACTCTTTCAGGCCAATGAACAGTTACAGACACCTATGGTTTAATGTGCATTTTAGAACTACTTTTTGCTGTGTACTTTAACAAGGAAGGACCCTTTCTACACCAAATAAATGCTTACAACAAGTTTGTGCCAATCACCCAGCCAGCATTGAAACTAAGAGTACTTAGATTAGATCCAAACACAGGTCATTCCAGTAGTTCTCGACTGAATCTGAAGAAGGAGTTCTGAAATGGTGAAGGCAAATGTATGATATCTAGCCCAGCTACTGCCACATTTTTTTTTCATTTGATTTTATTCAGAACCAGAAGTACAGAAAGGTAAGCAACTGGTATTCCTACAGACTGCAAGACAATGAATACATATGCCCACAACCTACCAGGGGCTGAACAAGCCCAAGCACCTCCCAAACGTTCCCATTTTTACCACCCAGTACGCATGCTTGCTTTGTGTGACACGGAGCTGTACAGTGCCCCACTGAGATCAGGATTCTGTCTGCTTCCAACCCTGAACTCAGGCATCTCTCTCAAGAGAACTTCAAAAATTTTTGATCCCACTCAGAAATGACTTTTTGGATGAAGGAATTCCCAATTGCTAACTGTGGTCTACTGAGAATTTCCTGAATCTGGCCTCACACCTCAATCATCCCTCTAAACTCTAACATAATATTTCCCTGTCCACAATGGTACTTAACTAATCCTTCTTCTGGCTCTGCTTGGTGTACAAGACGTTGCAGGCAGTTAAAAGGCACACTTTACCCAAAACGCTTGGGCATTGAACCTAGGAAGTCAGAAGAAGTAGGATATACTGAAGACCAGAACCTCAGCTATAATTAGCAGAAGGCTGCTGCACAAGATGTAGGCCAATTGGCAGTTACCTAACTACTCAGAAAACAAATCTCTTTATAGCTTATGGAAAAAAAAAAATAAAATCAGCCTTTGAAAAACATTTAACTGTATTGGCATGGGTTTGTAATTTTCAGTTAAAACGGCCATTCATTCAGCAAAATAAAAACATGGTTGTCCAAACAGTCTAAGTAAATTTTACATAGGTTTACTTAAGCATGCTATGTGCTAGAATATTTGCAGCCAAAGCAATATTTACCTCTTCTCTTTTTTTTTGGACCCACTCCTTGTGCTTCTCTTCAGCTATTCTTTTCCTCCTTTCACATTCTTGTTTTTGCCTCATCTTCTCAAGCTGTATATTCATTTCCTAATTAAAGAAAAAGTATATGACTGAAAGCTGTGGTGACCACCTACACCAGTACACTCAACGCTGGAAACAGTGCTGCAGGTAAAACCATGTAAGCACTAGATTTTGAAAATCTTCCTTTATTAATATTTGGAAAAGATGAATGACAGTCAACAGAGAAATACGAAACACAATCAACGGAAATGGATAATTTTTAGAATATGAACTGGAAATACATATTTTAATTAGGCTTTGGAAACAATTCAACATAACAAATCATTCCTCAGCTTATTTAAATGCCCTTTCAGTCAGTAGAATCTTAATTTGCAGCAATACTTTTCTACAATACTTAAAATCTACATAGTGTACTGCTCTGCATTCAGGAAGGCATCAAAAGCTAAGTGAAATATTACTTACTTGTGATGTTTTGTACCAGAACTACAGGAACCTTAGGGCTTAACCCAAAGCTTATTAAAGCAAAAATTACTGTAGATTTTAGCAAACTTTGAAAAAGGAGCTTTACTTTGAAGGTAAGAAAAGAAATTCTGAAATATTGTATCTTTATAGGACATATAGTACACACGCAATCACTTATACCTCTCCAAGGAGAATATAAAGAGAAAATATGACTAAGATGACAATTTGAGATGCCTAGGCTTCTCTAACAGTAGCATTAGCACAAAGTGCTATTCTTCAGTGAAGATTCGTACCTTCAAAGACAGATGGAATTATTTCCATGAAATGCATGTTATGGTCCCTACACTGCAGTCAGTTTCAGAGAGAACCCCCTCTTCTTATGCCACTAAATTTGAATTTAGTAAGATATCAAGAAAAAAACAGGAGCCTACAGAGAGCTCAAAGAAAACTCTCACCACACAGACAAAGTTTGAAAATACAGTTGTTGCTGTGCTGAGGCACCTCCTTTGAGTTCTGAGATGTCTGTATTGCAGGGATCCTGGTTTCTGTGGTAGCAGTGTAAGTTCCTTAGACGACCCCATCCACTATCCACTCCAAACGTTTATCCACATTTCCGACATTCAGGGCAGACTTGGTGCTGCTGTCAGCAAAAGATCTGGGATTTCACAGTTGTTTCTTAGGATATTAGTTTAGAATACTTTTTATATGCAAATGTAGTAATACATTTTATATCACAATCACATACTTTGTTCTCTTCTGGCATCTTACAAAAAGGTTGATTGTATTTTTTCCCGTGATATAACCCGAGTTGCCTACATTGCAGTTTAACATCTAATGGTTTCAAAATCTTAGAAATTAAAAATAAAAGGTTTACCTATTCCACCTATTTCTACATGGCTTTAAGTAATGCTTGTTCTATGACTGCTCTTAATATATAGTTAAGAGGGACACCTTCTAGATTACATTTAGTGCCGTATAAATGCTATCGTGCGATACATAAGAACAGACTGCGCTCATCCCTCGCCAAGACCACATGAGAAGTGTACACAAACCACATTTTGTACATGACACCAGAAATTACTTCAGCTCATTTTTTGTACTTAAAAATCAAAATAGGGAGAGACGATTACCAAACTGGAATCTAAAGGGGAAGTCATGAAATGTGTGGTGAATATTAACGGATCAGAACATATTCCTCGAGTTTAACAAACCATTTTGGTGTTATGCTGAGCTCTAAAAGACAGTTCCAGAACCTTCCAGCAGTGGGTGTTCTATAAACAACACGAGGCAGCCCACATGAAACAGCTGTACGTTATATTCACTTTACAGATAAAGTGAATCACAGAAAGGTTAGGGCATTGCTCAAGGTCAAGTAGTAAATCAGTAACTAAAGTGAGAAATGATCTAACTTTGATGTGATTGTTCTAACCACTACTCAATACTTCCAATTTGATTTTAAACAACAGTATCATTTAACCAATCGCAACTACAAACATATTAATCAAGAAAAGATACTGCGCTCTCGCTTAATTCTGCCCCAGCCTCAGTATTTAAGAACTATTCTTTTTTAAGAGGCCAAAAGATAGAAGGAGGGGAAAAAAATGCTGGGACAGGGAAACCCTATCCTGGGAAAGGACACCAAACAGTTGTATAATTACACAGTAAGTGGGTAACAACACTGTGCCTCATATCTAACCAGGTAGCTTGGCATACTTACACCCAGCACACGCCCTGTCGTGTTTTACTACCTACATGCAGGTGAATGTACCCATGATGAAAATCAAGGTACCAATTATATAAATATGTTTTAATCTTTTAAACTCAAACCATTACCTGACAGTTGGATAAGCAAAATATTATACAGCACCACTTCAATGAAGCATAACATTTAGCAAAAGAGAACGCACGTACCATGGATCACGTCAGCATTGTCAAACACAGACACTACGGAGGCCCAAGACACTAAAAAGTAATGGGCAAAACTACTTGTGTTTCCACAGCCAAAAGAAAAAAAAAAAATCCTGTGCTCGCTATCTGCTATTAGACTTAACATCAAGCCAATGGGATGTATTCACCTCTGCAGCTCTAGCCTGGGAGCGGGCTCGCAGCTCCTTCTCTTTGCCAATGAACCATTCTTCCCACGGTGACAGATTATCTTTCAAAGGTGACTCTTTTTTCCCTCCTGCTATTTCAGAGTCCGCTGCCTGCCTGAATTAAAAATGAGAAATGTGAAAGAATATTAGCTGTCATATATTTGATTGAAAAGTGAAGCAGCGTTACCGCCTTGAAAACTGACGTTTCTTTTATGGCAAATTGGGACAATGACATCATTTTTCTACTTGCTTAGTAATCCTCAGAATTGATAAATGGCATTTATGGTGCACCTCTGACCATGCCCCTTACGTTCTGCTTATTAAAGTCTACCTTGTTAGTGGTTCTTTTTTTCCCCTGTTCCAAACTGCGGAACAGATTCAATCATCACCTTTTATGAACTAAACAAAAACTAACACCAGAAACATCAAAGCATCACCTTCTTTCTCACATATGGAAACTGATGGAAATCAGAGACTTAAAGTTAACATCCTGTGCTTGGTCGCAGAGAGGCTTCAAGTATCAAGTGGCCTTTAGCATGAGCAAAGGATAAACACAGATATTTTTTCTTCTTTCAAGTCCTACAGAATTGGATTCATACCAAGCAACCTCAGCATTAAGCATTCATTCACTCTAAGAGGTAAAGTTTTGCACCCCAAAAAGCTTTCACAGGAAACATTAAGAAATAGGGCTTGCACACAAGACTTGGTTATACAAGGTTCTCTTAGACTTTTAATAGGATACCTTGCATAACTCGCTCATAACTTCTTTACTCATGAATAATGTAACAATCCTAGCCCCAGGCCAGAAATATCTTTTACAATATTCTATACATGTACTATCTCATAAGACAGTCTATTAGGCTCTAAGTTAATGAAAACTGAAAACTTGCCAATAGATTTCTTTATAAGATTTCTTCTGCCTTATACAGATTTTTTTTCTTAACAACAAAACAGTGAAACTAGACTCCACATTAGTATTTTATGTGGATGTACAGGCTCTGGAAATACCTACCTACGTACACACTTCACTGCAGTGAGAAATTCTGTTTGCTGAATTCAAGCTACACAAGAGGCACCCAAACGAGCATATGACGTTAACGCTCCTGAAATAAATCTTTTAATCTTCAGTTTTTCATCAATATAAAAGTATTACGTATTCACAGGGAACAGCAATATTCTGCTGCAAAACATTTTACGTCCCAGTAACCTTTAGAATATATTTCTGTGATGCAAAGCATGTGGGGGCATTTGGAGGTTTGTCCTGCTCTTCTCCATTGCTGTCACCCACACGTGTGTGCACCGTCGTGACTATTTGCGGTCAAGCCGTGGCACGTCGAACTGATTCACACTGAAATTAACCTGGAAAAGGGTTGTTTTACCCACACAGAATCAGCCCCCAACCTCTTCATCCTGTGCTGCCACAGAGATGGAGTAGAAGGGAACTGCCAGGACAGCCTGACCCACAGACAGGCAGGGACAGCAGCAGCACAGGCCAAGCACGCCCGAGCCCAGTGCTGTCCAACACGTTCTGCTGCACCCTCGGGCTTCTGTGCTGCAGCGTTAACAAAGACCAAAAATTGAACAGAGACCGTTTTTAAACAGGTACGTGTAACAAGGGATGCAGCTTAAGAATGCATAACACCACATTTTGTTAGAAAATAACTCTCTGAAAGATTATCAAAGATAAGGATAAAAGTATTACGCATTCAAATTCAGGAAACCAATGCAACTTTGTCCAGACTTGAAATTTTGGGCAGGGATACTTCCTCAATACATTCCTTTGCTCTGCACGATTTGCATTATGGCACCTTGTACTAGAATAATGCTGACATATTAGACCAACTTGAGAAAAAGTACTAGTAGGAGGAATGAATTAAGAAAAACAATATTTACTATGTTTTCTCATATCAGTAATTATCAAGTTCAAGCTGTTAACCTCTCAAAAAAAATTTTGCAGTAATAAATTAAAAACTTATTGTATACAAGTAACAAATAACAGAAAATGAAGTTTAAACAGAGGCTAACACAAGCTCAATATGAAGAAATGTTAGGAGAAACATTTCTCCTCTTCCGCAGTACTGTGTCTAAAGGTCTCAGACTGCACCAGCGCACGGACTGGAACCCAATCCTTCTCAGTGTGCATCCCAGTCACCGGTCACACTCTCCCTGGCACACTGATTATGTATTTTGAGCCACACAGACCTTGAATTTCATGGGACCATTTTCTGAAATGCCAGCATGTTCACAGCTATGACCTTCCTCAGAATAATTAAAATAAGATTTCTCAAAGTACCACATTCTCAAGTGCACATTTGTTTTTAAGTAAGTATCTTAAAACAAATCAGATACATTTGGTATTAGAACCGAAGTCTGATTAACAGAAAACACTGTGATTATAATCTACCATATATTCACTTAAGTCACACCATCAAACATAACACTGATCCATAATGAAAGCATGAAAACGCCTAACACCATTTCACAAGGCCTTGTTTCAGCCTTTCTCTT